GGCTCCGGTGGTCCTGAGCCCGGCACAGCTGGCAGATGCAGCTCCGGTCGGTGCGGCAAAAGCTCTCCAAGGGCTTGAGGTGCAGCTTGCAGAGGCTCTCCTCGATGCGCCGCAAGGGCGGCACCAGCCGGTGGCCCTGGAACGCGGGGCTTTTGAGATGAGGCTGCAGGTGAGGGGCGCAGAAGGAGGCCAAGCACACCAGGCACGACTGCGCCGCCTCGGCCCGCTCCTCGCCCGTGCAGAAGTCGCAGAGCACCTCCGGGCGCGGGGCCGGACTAGCCTCGGCCTCTCCCGCCGGCCGGCCGGCGTCGGGGTTGTCCTCGGCAGCGCGCGGCTCCGACGCCTCCTCCTCGGGAGACATCCTAGCCGAGCCCGGGCTCCTCGGGGCGGCGGAGGCGGGCTGACGGAACTGCAAGAGCTCGGCCAGGGTGTGGTTCTTACGGAGCTGGAGGTCGGCCGGGAAGGGTTCCTGGCAGAGGGGGCAGCGGGAGGTGCCTTGCCCGCCGCCGGAGACGCCCGCCGCCGCCGCCGCCGGGTGGTGCCTGTGGGCCTCGAGGCAGCTCAAGCAGAAGTTGTGGCCGCAGGGAGTGGTGACGGGGTCCTTCAGGGCGTCGAGGCANCGTCGAGGCAGATGGGGCAGCTGAAGGGGCCTTCCTGGAGGTGGGAGGCGAGGAGGGGGCCGCAGCCGGTCTCCATGCTGCTGAAGGCCACCCCGAGGCGGAGAGCGCCGGCGGCTGCTTTTCCAGGGCAGGGCAGGGCAAAGGGGGGGGGAGAGGCGAGCCAACTCCGCCCCTCAGGAGGGACTCAGGACCGCCGGCCAGCTCCCCTCCCCCCCACACGCCGGCTCCATTCAAAATAACAGCGGTCCTGAGCTGGGAAACGCCGTGACTGGGTCGTGAAAAGTTTGAAATGATATTTTGCCCGGCGAAGGGTCCCGCTGGAACTCGCGGGCTTTTTAATGACCCCAAGGAGGGAAATTGTCCCTTTTAGGGAGGCTTTCCTGTATCTTTTGCGCGCGCCACCGGCATTCCGCGTGTCCGGCTGCCCCCAAGGCTCCAGTCTCGGAAATTCACTTGAAGGTGTTTTAAAGTCTAGACCTAACGTCGAACAATTGAGTACTAATTGAAGAAATCCAGTTTTTCAGAGGTTTAGGGGGTCGCTTTTTCCCCCACCCCCACCCCCGAATATGCAAGGTGGGCCAACCTGCCTCCTCCAGTAACTCGAAAGCGGAAGACCGTGTGAATGGACCAAAGATGTAGGTGTTCACGGCAAATCCTTTACTTCGCGCTCCGGGATTGATGTGTAAGGATCGGGGTTTTCTATGATCGCTTCGGAATGATAGGGACATTTTAATAACAGTTTACATTTCCTCGTGTCGTGCAAGTGTTGGCGCCGGCTGGAACTTCCAAATACTGTAATTGTTTCCTAATACGTAGTTAATTTCCAATGTTACATTTCCTCGTGTCGTGCAAGTGTTGGGCGCTGGCTAGAATTTCCAAAGAATTGTTTCCTAAGTACTGTAGTTAATTTCCAATGGTTTTAAGTAAAGTCGAGCGCCAGATGGGATGCGCCGGCTGTGCAAACTTTACTCCATGGGCGCCCTCTAGTGATCATTTCTTAAAGCACAGGTTGCAAGCCAGCTCCTTTTACGTTTCATAACCGAGTAGAAATTTAGATTTGACTAGTGCCACGTGATCCCAAGGAAAAACATAAGGGTTGTTTATAAAACTTATGAAAAGGGTAGAAAATATAATCGGGAAGGAGATTTTTCTCCATCTTAGAATTTAGGAATACCTTATGATAGGGACCAATGTACAGTACTATTTCACACATGAAAATGGCATTTGCTATCCTAAGCCATAGTAGTGATAGGTGGTGGGTTACAACATTTGGAAGAGGGGTTGTTAGACCTAGAGTCATGGATCTTGCTCGCTTCTTGGGGCACTTAGCTGTCCAGTAGCAATATACATCAGACTATATGCCAGGTACTGGGAGGGTTTGAGTCCTGGCTCCACTTTTTCTTCAAATAAATTGACAGGCTTCCTTGGTTTGGAAATTGGAGTCACATTTATTGGATTATTTAACAAACAGCCGATCTCTACAAACGTATTCCAACCATTGTCTCCCTCTAACAACTGGTTAGGAGGGGGCTTCCAGTCTTCAACTCTGAATGGATTAGTCTCCTGGGTATTCCAGGGACCCAGCCAGTCCAGTCTGCATTTAATAATTGCCTATTCTGCCCTTCCAATAGGGGTACTATATCTTCGTCCCGGCCATCTGTCCAGATATAGTCTCGGGAGGAGGCATTCTCCGGCCAAAGTCTCCCGCAGGCCCTCTCTGCTGCTGTTGCATCATCAGCCATTCCTATCTCCCTCTCCTCTCTTCTTTCCCTCTCAACTTTTTCCTCCGTCAACTTCTTCCTCCACGCCTTCGTCTCATGCTCCCCCCAAAAGAGGGCTTAGGTGTTAATCTCACTCCTTCTCAGGGCCTCTGCCTCTTCTCTTGGGACCCTCAGCTTCTCCACCTTCCCAGTCCACGGGTCCTCTAGCCACATTCATTCCCAACCATGAGGCAAGCTGTCCTCCTCCCTCTTTATATCTCCCAGCCCTGCCTCTACTTCTACCTGGGGTTGTCGTTCTCTTCCCGCCAAAATACTCCCGCCTTCTCCAACGGACATTCCCCTCAGTTTCTCCTCCATGTTCCTTGGGTTTTGCTCAGGTGGTCTAATCTTCCTGGGAGGGGGAATGGATGGTGTTTGCCCCTCCTTGTCGGCAGAGAGCAGGAGGGACGGCACTCCTGTGAGAGGGGCCTTGTTCTCACCGACAGCCTCACAGGTAACCAGTGCAATGTAGCGGGTAAGTGATAAACTAGGACTCTGAAGACCAGGGTTTGAATCCCAGCTGAGCCATGGGGACTCAGTGGAGGAGTGGAACTGGTAAAGCCACTCCTTAATATCTCACCTTGAAATTAGACTCGCTATAAGTCAGTTCCAACTTGACAGCACATAACAGGAATAATATGCTATGGAATCATAGTGTAAGATAACAACCTAAGCTTTTGTTCCCTACTTGTAAATTTCCCCCAAGCATTTGACTGGACACTACTGGAAACGAGACACCAGACCTAGAACGAAATAGACATTTCTTTCAAATCCAGCAAGCACTTCTTATATTCATCCAAGGGTGTTGTGTGTTATGAGCTATCAAGTTGATTCTGACGTGATGGCCCTCTACTAGGTAGAGTTTCAGAGGACTGTTAGATATTCTAGGAGTGGTTTTACCATTCCCTCTCCTGTGAGTTCCCCAGAGCTGAATGGGGGATTCAAACCTGTGTCTCCTGTATTCTAGTCAGACACTTTGTCCACTACACTGCAGTGGCTCTGGAAAGCAGGGAAGAAATATTTACTTGGCCTTTGGTGGCCCTACCCAATTTTAATTGAATTGGAAGAAGGTTGGCCAGGGCTCACGCATATGGGGCATTTTGATATAATGCATCTTTCTGCTTCTAAAAAAAAAAAACCAATGCGTAAGTTGCACATTTCCTGTGTATGCAAGAATGTCTCTAAGTGCATGGAAAGTGCTTCATTCTAGATGAGGCCACATTTTAATATGAAGGGAGACCTGTCATAAGGAGACTGTTTTATGAAGCAGCATACCTATCTAGCTGCTGCTTTCCAAGTCTGTTGTTGCTGGTGCCTGTCTAGGACCATTTTGTCCACTCCAACAGCTACATTCGTCCTTCTCAAGCCCCTATTTTCATATCGGTTCCTCCTCCTCCTCCTCCTCCAAGCACTCTACTACTAGATGTATTTGTAGGTGATCACAGGAGGTAGATCTGTGATGGAGACTGTGTGGCCTTTTTTTTCCCATCGTCCTTCACCTCCTGCCATGTCAGCAAAGGCTGCTGGGAGTTGAAGGTGAACAACATCAGGGGATATCTCCCCAGCCTTCGTGTGTATAGGCTTAACTGGAGAAGTAACCAAAGAACAGGCTGTATGATGAGTGTGCTTGGCTCATGTTGAGGCTGTCTGGCAGGCCAGAACAGTAGCAACAGTGGAGATGTGATTTTGTTACCCTAATAAATCACAAGGATGTTTCTACCTTCACTCCCACTGGTCAAGGCAGACGTTGGTTCAGAAGGTTCTTTCCAAGACAATGAAGAAAAACGCTGATGGTCTGCTTTCTCGACTCTGGAATTTACTCCTTCCTCCCAACAGCCCTCAAAGCCAGATTCATTTTGCTTGAAAATGTATTATCTCTCCTCAATCATCACAGAACAAACCAACCAACCCTAACATTATTTATTTATTTATCGAACAATATGACCATTCTGGTATTCCATGTTTAGGCTTTCATAGTAAGCCCCCTCCCCCCAATACTTCCACCATGATCATAAGCTCCCATTTCTGAGAATCAGTTTGCTATTTTTTTGGAGAGCTCCCCACCCCCCACCCCATTGGGATCAGGACCAGTGCTCAGGAAATGATGAGGATTAGAGAAATGTAATAAAAGGGATTTTTTTTTTCCTGGGAAATGGCACTTTTAAAAACAGGACAGAAAAGAAAACGGGAATTAACTAGGCAGGTTTCACTTCTGCCTCATAGTTTTGAGAAGAAAAAAAAGGCACAAACACAGTCTGCAATGTCAACTTTAGTCATGCCCCAGCTGTACAGAGAAGTGAAAATTACTCTCCTTTTATACAAGTTTTAAAACATGCAAACAGAAAAAATGTATTCCTCTAGAATCTACTACCCAAAGAGACAGTTATTGTCCAGTTTTACATTTGGGAAGCTACAGATATTTAGTGCTACATAACTGTCCAAAATCGTGTTGCTTTAGCATAATAAATGGCTCTAGAGTAGGCCTATTGAATCAGTGTGGATTTAGTGGGTCAACTCCTTGATAGGTTCCATTGATTCAAATGGCTCTACTCTAACTGCAACTTACCATGCTAAAGTAAATTAGGGTAATCCCATGTGAATCAATGGAATGTATTTATTTATTTATTTATTTTATTTATATGCCACCCATCTAGACATAGTCTACTTTGGGCGGCTCACAACATATACAATAAAAACAATTTAAAATATTCAGTTTTACATAGTTAAAAACAAGGCAATAAAAGATATAACAATTAATTTAAAGTAAACAATTCCTAGATGGTATAGATCAAAAAAATAAGAGTCACTTAGTTGTCTGAAGGGAAGGCCTGCTTGAATAGCCAAGTTTTCAACTGGCTTTTGAAAATGCTCAGCGAGGGGGCCAGCTGAATTTCGGTAGGGAGGGTGTTCCACAGCTGAGGGGCCACTGCCGAGAAGGCCCGGTTTCTTGTTTTTTGCTTCCGGGCCTCCTGCGGCGTCAGACCCCTCAGCCGTCCCGGGTGATTCGGGTAGATTTAGGTGGAAGAAGAAGTTGACTCAGTAAATCCCCACTGATTCAGTGGGCCTACTCTAGTGCCAAGTTTATAATGCCAAGCAACAGGATTTCAGTCAATGGAAGATAAGGATATGAAGAACAGAAACACATTTTCAACCCATTTAGAAAGGAGTTAATTTGCAAGCACAACAACAGACTCATCCTCAGTGTTTCAGAATGGTCTGCTCATTGCTCGGTTTCTCCATAGAGGTAGCAGCTGCCTGCAAGTCAGGAGCCACTCCGTCCATTTCAACTGGGGCACATGGCTTTTGGCAAAGGGTCACAGCTGCCCCTTCACAGAGCCAGAAGATTGGGATAAGAGGCTCTGTGAAGAAACTATTAAATGAGTGGAGGAGCTTCATGTTTTCATCTACACCGTAAAAAGACAGGACTCCTTGCTCATAGTTCAGCAGTACTCCAATGAACTTGCACGAAGGCTCATTTATCTTCTTCGACACCCCATCATGCCAAGCCACGTAGCAGTCTCCTTGGACGTGCAGGCCCCAGGAGAGCGGATCCAGCCCAATGGTAAAACTGCGACTCGCCTGCTTCTTCCTTGTGATCCTTTCGTAGGCTAGACCCACAATGGCTGAACGGCCAGACAGCTTGACTTCCCAGTAGTTGCTGCCCTGGCTGAATTTCTGGAGACACATGACTTGCCAGGACTCAAACCTCTGCAGCTCATTTGAGGTCTTGGTATGAGACCCTTGAGGATGGATAGCCTTCCGGTCTTGATCAGAAAATTGTAGGTATTTGTTTGCTGTGCTTGGGTCAAAGGTCAAGTTCTGATGATCTGCAAGAGGGAGGGATGGCAAGAATACAGGATCAGCAGAAGGAATTAAAAAGGCCTCAAGCATCTTTAGCATCCTTGTCACTAATTCACCTCTTTCCCTTGGGCACACACGACACACAGTCCAAATATACCTGTTGCAGAGGGATTCCCAGGCTTCCAGGTTAGGTTTTTGTAGGGTGCATGTTGCAGTTGGTGTGGGGGGGTGGAAGTCACTTTTCTCCTGAACTCCTTGACAGAAGCAGGGCTATCATCAAAGCAACTCTTTCGGATCCTGCTTTATGTCAACTCGAGCAGACTTCCCTCCTGTGGCTCACTTGATGGATAAGCTAAGTCCTCCCTGTGCAACACTATCATCAGCAGAACAATCCAGTTGGAACCTGTGAAAATGTCTCTCCATGGTGGCCTGTCGACACATAACACTCAGCTGTAGTTAGTGCTATAAGACACTAGCAATTGTTGCCACCTTCTACGTGTGCACAGCAGCTGACTCAGAAGCTCTGACTGCCTGTGGAAAGCAGCACTTCTTTTTGCCACTGTATAGCTAGCGCAAGCAGTACTAACCCTTCCCATAGCATGTTTCCTCTGCATTCTGCATGGCTTTTTGCTTACTTGTTTCAGCACCAGAATCTCTCTCTCTCTCTCTCTCCCTCTCTCTCTCTCACACACACAAACACACACACTAACAAACACACACAATTCTTCAGTATTGTGGGGTGGGGTGGGTGGGGAGACGAGACCAGCCTCTTCAGTGCACTGGGCCTGCTGAGGGTTTGTCAAAGTTGACATCTGCATTTCCTCTGCAACTCCCCTTCAGCTGTCCTTAAATAGCTAATCAAACTGAAGTATCTTCTGCCAACCCTGTGAAGATGGCTTTATGAAACAGGGATGTTTTGGGGCTGCAGGGTGTTCAGCCATGTACAGAGAAAGTTTTGTCAGCATGCTGGTGGAAGACTGGAAGCAGAGTTATGAAGTAAGAGCAAATAAAAGGTCAGGGGAATGAATGCTTCCATTTCCTTTGGAGCAAGCCAATGTGATGTGAGATGCAGGCCTTGCCATATATTACATCATTTTTATTAGCACAAAGTTCACAACGGTCTGTGTGAGAAACCTGCTCTGTGTCTTAGTAACCGGAAAGCATTACCAGCAGCTCAGCATTCTTCGGACCATTTTTCTGCCTAAATAAGGTTAACGGGGTAATTATTTCCCTCAAGGGATACAAACCAGAAACCTAGGCGAGGAAAGTTCAGAGAGATATATGTACGTCTATACAGAAAAGGCTGTCCCTTGTCTATTGGCTGTCAGCCATAGTTACTAAATGCAATTACTACTTTGGCAGAAGTTACCAGGACTTAGTGCTTTTCCCTTTGGTCATCTTCCACCACCCTTGTCAGAGACCAGGAACTGCTCCATTTAGTTTAATGATGAAAAATATGGCCCTTGTAAATGAAGTGAACAGCTTCTTGACACCATACTAACCTAAACCCAACAGTTAGCCTTTGCAAAAGCAGGAATAACAACAACAACAACAACAACAACAACAATAATAATAATATTTCCAGATCCAAACAGATAAACACCTTGAACATAAATAACACACCAGACATAGTAGTAACAGAATGAAGAAATGTCCGAATCATTGACATTTCAACTTCAAAGGATGCCAGAATTGAAAATAAAGAATTGGAAAAACTAATGAAGTACAGAGATCTGGCAATCAAAACATTGTGCCTCTGGAAGAAACACACTTCAGTGGTCCCTGTAGTCATTGGGGATTTGGGAACAATATCGAGAAATTTCACACAATACTATAAGTAGTTGGACATCTCAGAAATAGCACCATCAGAGCTACAAAAAAAAAAAACAGCAATATTAGGAACAGCATACATACTATGCCAATATTTAACAGATACATAGGTTTTTGGTTAAAACTTGTATCTGTTATATAATACCAGTCAATGTTTTTGTAATTTTGCCTGTGCCTGGTGTTTTTTGTTTTTGTTTTTTTTTTAAATAAAGCTATATGAGTGCTTTCCCTTTTCTCTTGTTTCCTTTTGTGGAACAGAAGAGTAAGATCAATTAAAAATAAATTAGGGATCCCCTCCCCCACACAAAAGGGGAAAAAAAGGATGGAGGCTACCTGACCTGTGCTGAGGACAGTTATGCAGGTGGGAAAGAAGCCATTATAGATGCAATCTCTGACTGCAGGTGGGCTTTAAGCAAGCAAGAATATTGTGTGCAGCCACCACCCAGGAGAGAGAAAAAAGGCTTGCATAGATTAACCATGAGAAGTCTATTCTTCAGCTGGAAGTCACACCAGGTATTCATGTTTTACTCAGTTATATGGTGAGGGTGAAAGCATACACAACAGCAAAACCTGCATTTATGTTCTGTTCACTTCAAAAAGAGAAGCGCTCTGCCTGCAGAAGAATGCACTCATGAAACCTACGTAACTCCCACTGAAATGAATGAAAATCTCTTGGGCATCAGAATGTTTACACATGAAAGCAGTAATGAGAGCAAACCATCGTCTTTAAAGGGCAAGAAGCTAACAAAAGGATTTGGTGATTCCAGTGCTTTAAAACGAAAGCTTGGCCCTAAAAATGGCACCAGGTATGGGGATTTCCGCTAATGCAAGAAATGGGTTATTTTTTCTTCCTCAACACACTTGAGAGGATCAGGCTAAATCCAACACTATCAGAAAATATGTTTTCAGAGCGTATATGGATGAGGGAGAAAAGCCAGCTTCTCTCAGTTGGTTTGTCTGTTTGCAACTGAATCCAGCCTTAGGACTTCTATAGCTCATTTAGTTCCTAAGTCTTGCAGCAAAAACAGTGAAGAGTCTTATGGTACCTTAAAAATGAAAGTCATTATACTGGAAGATCCAGTGCATTCAATAGACCTGACAGCGGCGTTGAAAAACTTTGGTGATATGGCAGGAATGAGAATAAACCAAAAGAAAACAAAAATACTTACTAAAAATATAAGAGAACAAGAACGGCAGAAGTTAGTAGAGAAGACGAACTTCCAAGAGGAAAAGAGAATTCGATATTTAGGGATCCAAATTACAAAGAAGACGAGTACACTATTTAAAGATAATTTTATGAAATTGATGAAGGAGATACAGAACAATCTGGAGAAATGGGATAAACTACAATTATCGCTGTTGGGAAGGATTGTGATGTTTAAAATGAGTGTCTTGCCAAAAATTTTATTCTTATTTCAGACAATCCCGATCATATTAAAACAGACCTTTTTTCAAGAACTTAATAAGATAATTATGAGATTTGTATGGCAAGGCAAAAAACCAAGAATTAAAATTAAAGCAATGCAAGATGCCAAACAGAGGGCTGGCTTTGGTCTTCCAGATTGGGATCTGTATTATAGATCCTGTATTTTAGATTGGATAAAATAATGGATAACTTTGGAAAATGATAGAGTACTCAACTTGGAAGGACATGATTTACAGCTAGGCTGGCACGCTTATCTATGGTATAAAAAGGATAAAGAGCAAAAGCATTTTAATTTACATATAATAAGAAGAGCTTTACTGGGAACGTAGAGAAAGATTATACAAAAAATTATATTGGAAAATGATAGAGTACTCAACTTGGAAGGACATGATTTACAGCTAGGCTGGCACGCTTATCTATGGTATAAAAAGGATAAAGAGCAAAAGCATTTTAATTTACATATAATAAGAAG